TCTATTCCTGGGGAGCTGCACCTGCTGGAAACCGGGTCCAGCGTCCCATACAATGTCGTCCAAATATAGTCCTCGAATACAGCAAGCTAAAAACGTCACTGTTTTAGCTCCTGAGGGTCCGTCTAAAATTCGCTGATGTCCTTCTTCTGCAGCCCACAGTAGGCTTGCATCCCTCTGTCGTCTTTTGACTGAAATTCCCTTTGGCTGTTGGATAGGAGAGAGTGGGACATCTGGCTTATTGGAAATCTGCTTTGCTCGAAATTGGGTTTAATTTTTTGAGGTGATTTACACTTGTTGACATTTTTTAGGTTTTTGTTAATTAGTCCTTAATTGGGAATTCATTTTGTGTTGAGTATTAGTTATGATTACGGTTTCTGTTTTGTAGATAACTTAGGGTTAGGGATGATTACGGTAGGTGTATCAGGGAATAGGTCAGGAATTTGCGTGATGCGATGCGTTGTGCTTTGCGCAGGTGATAGACAGCAGGTTGTGCTCGATTATGATAACTTCGTCAGCCATTGACTTGATTGCAGATGACTGTATGCCACGAAGAGCAAATTACTGGAATCCTGGAGATTATCCAGAATGACACGCTTGATGTTGCCCCCAATCAAGTAATATGTCATTTTGGACGATATACTTCTGCTGATTGATTGGAGAGAGTGGGACATTCGGCTTATTGGAAATCTGCTTTGTTCGAAAATGGGTTGAATTTCTTGAGGTGATATTTACTTCTTCACGGTTTTTAGTTTTAGGGTAACGGATGGACCTGCCATGTATAGTCGGATGATATCCTGGAGGTTATCCAGAACGACAGGCTTGATGTTGCCCCCCATAAAGTATGTCATTTTGGACAATCTACTTCTGCTGCAGCCCACAGTAGGCTTGCCTCCCTCTGTCGTCTTTTGACTGATATTCCCTTTGGCTGATTGGATCGGAGAAAGTGGGACATTCGGCTTATTGGAAATTTTGCTTTGCTTGAAATTGGCTTGAATTTTTTAGGTGATTTACACTTTTTGACGTTTTTGAAGGTTTTGGTTAATTAGTCCTTAATTGGGAAATTCAATTCATTTTGTGTTTAGTCATGATTACAGTTTCTGTTTTGTAAATAATTTAGCGTCAGGGATTATTACGGTAATTGTATCAGGGAATAGGTTAGAAATTTGTGTGATTGTTTTTGATAATATAGAAGTAATCGATACATTGGGATAGGATTAAATTCTGGTTAAATTCTAAGTATTAACATAGATGAGGCTTTGCAACTAGAGTTCTGCACGGGATGGGCTGAAGACAGGCGTCTTCACTGTGGGAGGTCCGAGGTTGGGGATGGGACTGGCCGGAATTGCCTCTCCCAGCCTGGATTGGCTACGGAATTCATGTGAGGGACGCCGGGCCCGTTTCCCGGTTTTATAATAAATGATTTTCTTTATAAAAAAAAAAAAAAAAAAAAAAAGCTGAAGTCCAGATACATGCAAGGGGGTCCGGCGTTTCAAGATACTAGCGACATTCTTAGGGCCAAATAAGTAGGCTTCCACCGGAAAAAATTAAGTGTCCCGTTTATTGAAATGGCTGTTTAAAGTTTAAACAAACATCTAATTTCATATCATGTCATGCAGGGCCTACTCACCTGGAAGAAGAAAAAAAAAAAAAAAAAAAAAGCTAGGCTGTTTTTCGGGCGCCCGGGTGCACGCCCCACAGTCGCCACAAGCCCCAGAGCGTGATGACATAAAAAAAAAAAAAAGAATCGAAATAACCTACAAAACAACAAACAAAAATGCTTATTTTGGCTGGTTCCATGATTTAAAAAAAAAATTGAATTCAAAAATATTATTCGTGAAAACAAAATGAAAACATTAGGGAGGGTTACCCTCCAATGACCCCCACCCTTCTACAAAAAACCAACAACAACCCCCCCCCCCCCGGGCCCCCCCCAGCCAAAAAAAAAAAAAAAAACCGACCGCGCTCTTCGTGAACTCCATGAGCTCCTACCCGTCACGATTTTTGTGACTGACAGGTGACCGGCCGCCGTTCACAGACCCCGTGAATGATGAACGGCGGTACTGCACTGTCGGGCAATGTGTACATCCCAGCTTTCTGGCCAGGTACGGTGCCCCGAGTGCAATTGCAACTGACAGTGTATCTTGCCCCATTATGATAGTGCAATTATAAGACTTTGTCGTTTTTGCCCCATAGTGCAATTATAAGACTTAATAGTCGTTTTTGTGAAGTTACCCCCTTTTTCCCTTTTTTGTTTTTCACAATCTATTGTATGGATGTATGTTAGCCTAGTAAAAAGTGAAAGACACTAAGTACAGGTGTCACTGAACCATTCCATTTTTTTTTATTTTTTTTTTGGGGGGGGGGAACCCCCACCGAAACTTTTGACTGGACTTCGCTTTTTTTGCATCTGATTCATTTTTGGCAACTTGGCAACTTGGCAACTTGGCAACTTGGCAAATTGGCGAATTGGTGATGGGCAAATTGACAAATTGGCGAATTGGCAATGGGCAAATTGGCAAATTGGCAAGCAGTACCATAGCTATGGCAGCTTTATCTCGGGAGAGAATTGTTATAGCCTACAATCAGAGAGACACATCAGGACGCGTCATTCCTTTATTACGGGTGGGACTAGTTCGAGGAAAGCACGTCACTTTCACAAATGCGACACAGGTGAGTTACTCGTACTCCTCTTTCTGCTGCTGCACTCAGTGATCCTACTCCTCATTCTCCTCCTCCTCCTCCTCCTCCTCTGTCGTTATCATCATTACCATTGGACTCCTGTTTTGTGTGTGTGTTTTTTGTCATCGCCGACTCCACTTCTCCTGCTCCATGCAAAACATGTGACCAACATCCTCTTCCGTCTCTTTACTTTTTTGAAACCCACCAGGACAGCCAGGGTAACCCTTGTTTTGCCTAACCGAAGCGCCCCTGGTGGGCCGGAATTTGCCAAAGCACCAGCGCTGCGTTTTTCTTGTTGATTTGGCTGGCGGCGGAAGCCATTTCGATCCGACTGCCCCGATCCCTGAAAAGCCCCAAAATTTTGCGGTGGTGGCGATGGGTTCCTTTTCTACAAGGCTGGGCCCTGTACTAGTGGTCGAAGGGGTAGTACCGTGAGAATAGTCCCTTTCGAATTTAGCGGTTGCAAAAAGGCACCCGGGCAAGCCAAGAACTGCCATTTTGTCAAAATGGACATCTTTTATTTTTTGAACGAAATTGAAACCGAGTTTGTTGGCGGAAAACTCGTCAAAATCTGCTGTTCCCAAGGACCCCCTGGCTGTATATGGACCTAGCTTGAGACCAGGTACCTCCAGGCAGTCCCAATTTCGTTCAAAAAATAAAAAATGTCCATTTTGACCAAATGGTCGTTCAAGCAGCGAGGCAGCAAGGCAGCAAGGCAAGTGAAGCAGCAGGGCAACGTGGCGAGCAAGAAGGGAAGTAGTCAGCAAGCCTGAGCAAGGTAATCTAACATGGGCAATCAGCTAAGCAGCACAGTGAGCATCAAGCCTCAGGGATCAAGGCACTGGATGGGAAGGCAAGCAGGCAGGTGGGTGGGTGGGACACTAACACAGCAGGATGGGAAGCCATGGACGCAACAAGGAGGGGGGACTATCACATAATAATTCGCACTGACAGTGTATGGAAAACCCACCAGACTGTAGGTTCATGACATAATCAAGAACCAGGAATCCACCCGACAAATGTCTATCCAGCGAAAAACACAGGACAGCGGCATCCCCCTACATTAAATAGCCTAGTAATAGCGTTGCACGCATTCTGTTCAGGCAGGCACCAACTATTTGGCACAACTGGACTGAACGGTACTAGACTTTTGTACTAAGTTTTCAAATAGACACCAACCATTTGGCAAAACTCAAGTTCAGCATACTAGGCCTCAGTGCTCAGAAAAAAAAAACAGGAATTTAAAAGCCCGAACCAACCTACATAGTAGACGACAACATCATAGATATTACTCTAACCAGAGAGAACGGAGTTACAACTGTAATTCAAAAGAAGAAAAAAAAAAGAAGATTGTGTGTGGGAGAGAGAGGGAGAGAGAGGGAGAGAGAGGGAGAGACGGCGGAGAGAGAGAGGGAGGGAGAGAGCGAGAGAGAGGGAGCGAGGGGGAGGGAGAGAGAGAGA